GCACATCATAATGGGATATGATAGATTTATATCCTCTCATGTTTATTGTGTTAATTTACATGTGTTGCAGAAATATTGAGAACTCTGATTGAATTAATAATAGAATGAATTATATTTGAGTAGTAATAATTAATCCTGAAAAATTATTGAATTACTTAACCATATTTCAGATCACTGTATTAAATTTATGATAGACTGTGAAAATGACTTAGAATGAAAAATTACTTAGAATGACTTGGAATGAAAGCACTCCAAGTGAGTGTTTCTTGATGATGAGCAGTCCTCCAGTAGGCGGGGACAACACATGAACCTTCATGTCTCCATGTTGTTCCATCCTCCCAACAAGGTTCCTGAATATTTGCACACAGTAGAAGACTTGCAGAACTAGAATATATAAGTGGATGGATTAGAACACAGTCATAGAATCATATTCACTGAAAGAGGGCCTGGGAAATGTAGTCTTTTTCCGTATCCAAGAAAAAGAGAGGAGCCGGGGTCTGGGCAAGCTACTAGCTTCTGCCACAAGTTGAGTGCCTGAGTGTACAACATGGGTCGAGAAGGGGCAACTGGGATGTAGCAGTTATGGAAGCTTTGCCACTACATGGCCTGAAATAGAGCACTGAGATAGTGAAAGGATAGACCATGAGTTATGTGATGATAATAATAATAATAATAATTTTTATTATTGTTGTTGTTGTTGGTCATGGGGCTTGAATACTGGGCCTGTGTGCTGTCCTTCAGCTCAAGGCTAAGGCTCACCACTTGAGCCACAGCACCACTTCTGGCTTTTTCTGTTGGTGTGGTGCTGAAGAATCGAACCCAGGACTTCATGCATGCTAGGCAAGCACTCTGCCACTGAGCCTGCTTCCCAGACCTATTAGTATTATTATTATCTTAATGCAAGGAGAAGCCAGTTGCCGATGCCTCATGCTTGCAATCCTAGCTACTCAGGGGGCTGAGATCTGAGGATCATGATTTGAAGTCAGCCCAGGCAGAAAAGTCTGTGTCATTCTTTTTTTTTTTTAAAGTAAATATTTTTTTTTATTTTATTTGTGAAAATACTGTACAGAGGGGTTACAATTGCATGGGCAGGATAATGCGTACATTTCTTACCAAGCATTGCAGCCTCCTCCTTTGTTTACCCTTCACATCACTTC